GCTGACTTCGGGCTTCACAGAGGGAGGAACATCAAAGTGAAAAAAATTTAAGGAGAGGGGGGGGGTGCAAAAGAGTGAATCACAGATGTAGAAGAGACAGACAGACATAAAGGTAGGGACAGAGGTGAGGTGAGTACTGTGAAAGTTGTGGAATATGACATACAATGGGGTGATGGCAATTTGAAGTGAGAAGTCAACTGCCGGTTAATAGACTTTTTTGCCCTATGAGATTACAATATAAATTAATATCAGAAACCTGAAATGGAATGAGATGTGAATGAGGGATTGAATTTCCATTTAAAAGTTATCCACACAATCAATTAAATGCACTTTCTGAGCACACGCAGCATTACTCCAACAAAACGTAATGATTAAAGCAGATGCTAATTTCACAGTCAAGCGAATTTCAGTTTATCCTGACTCTAAAGAAGTGCCTTATCAATCCCTTATTTATTAGGCATGAGAATTCGCATAAATTATTAAAGGTATAGTCTGAAACAGTCAGATACGTATGTCTCATTATTGATTGAAAGAGGACAACGGTGACGTAACAACTTGGTATAAAGTCAAAAATCATTGATGCAATTACTGATAATTAGACACGTCGAATTCAAAATACAAACCATTAGATTGAATGAGACATTCAAATCATGTTAGTATCTGTTTCTTTTAAAACGAATTTCACTGGCTTGTTCAAAACCCGTGGTTACAATGATATCCTCGAAAGATAACAGTTTGCTTTACAGTAATTTATTTTAGAGATTTTAAAGCCATTTTTGCAAGTTCAGGTTAACTATTTTTTATTAAATCTAGGGCAACCAATCCGAATGGCAGCATTATTGATTATTTTCAATTATCTCCTTATACTCAAATATCTGTTCCCGGTACGGAAGAAGAGTCAATCACCCTCCAAGGTCCTGAAGCCGATATCAATGAACCCAAGTACGAACTCCACAATAATTGATGTGTGGGTTACTTCTGGTATCTTTGTATTCCATTAAACGCCAATTCTTTATGCTTAGACTCATGAGTAAGGTATGTAAGATCAAATATGGCATTTAAAACTTCATATCCCATCTTCCAGTTTTGTCACTGAGTAAGAGGTTTATTGCTTTTGCCTGCCTAAATTTCTAAGAAAAGATAGTCTACTAATGAGAATTCGGAAAAAGGGACACATATCATGTATTGGAGGCTAGCCTTATTTCATCAAGACAAATTCTCTATCTTTAAACCTACATCCACTTTACCGCTTAGTAAAAAGCAGATCAAGTAAACATGATCCGTCCCATAAGTACAAAGAATGTTTCATTGAAACAAGTAGTTATTATCCTAACAGCAGCAAATCCAATTTGCTTTGCGTTAAGTGTTAAAGGAGTTAATTTGCTTCCTAATATGAGAAAAACAAACATTAATTACAATTCAAGACAGACACCCCGATAGTCTAGTTAGGGTAATAAAATAACCTTCTTTAGCCGATGAAAGCCCCTCTTAATGAACTCGGTGGGGCTAAAACTCTTAAAATGTTATACTTAATCTGAGTATGCATTTGACTTCCTTTTTATGTCGAAATTTGAGAAGGCATTGCTCGTTTGATATGCCAAAAGTTGTGTTTTCACAATGCCTTTTGAATTAACTCTATTCAAACAGAAAATGTGTATGCATTGCATCACCACTTCAAAATTCATAGCTTTCATAACTAGCGTTCCATTAATGACTAAATGTGCTGGTTAATTCTGATCATCTCACAAATTAAATTTTTACTATTTGGCTAACCAGATCAGAGTATTCAATTTCACTCAATGAAGGAAGTTATGCAGTTCTCAATATTTTACGAAATGAACACAAAACTGGATGATGTAGAATCGATATCTTTATTTTGATTCATTTCCTCGTCAATTTAAACCAATTTCTCCCTATCCAGAAAATTATACAATTGTAAGGTTACCATAACAGGTAAGAAAACCTTCTTTAAATGCATACTCAGAGTTGACATACATTGGCGTATTTAAAAGAAGGGCTGAGAAATTTGAATCGTTGAAATGGGTTTAAACCGATTAGTGGTCATATCAACTTAATTTGAAGTAATCTTGATTTTGAGTCAACAATTTATATTTATTAAAAACGGCCATCAAGTTATTGCCTTCAGAGATGGCTGAGTCGTGTAGACTAAGAGAAACACCTTTTTATTCCAATCCAAGAGACATTATTAACAATCTCAATAGGTTTGAATTTGAATTGCATTTAGAGTTGGTTTACTCGCTGTTCGATATCGGTCCGGCAATTTCGTATAAGTGAAAAATTAAATTAACCGGATATAATTAATTTTAAATTTCATCGTATTATTCGTATCATATCTGTGAAAGGTTTGCAAGCAATTGTAAAAGGCGAATTTGTACGATTGTTGCAGGGCTTGTAGCACATAAAAACTTCTTCCTCCTGAACTAATTGATACTTTATTTTCTTTGCCTTGTCGCTAGGGCATTCGTTTATCTCTGTTGAAAGATCTTGGCAACTTACTATTCCACCTAAGGAGGTAAAGAAGGCAACGCTAATCTGTATGTAAGAAATAGCAAAACTAATAACTCAATCCATAAAGACAAGCATCTACTTTTCTGATTAATGCAATAATATAATGGCTTCATAACTGAGTGAATGACTATAACAGGATGATAACAGATCAGTGATCAGTGAGATTTCAACTGGTATTTTTCAGGCCATTTTGTTACTTTTACATCGACATCGCGTAGAAAAAAGTGATGACCTGTTTTATATTCATAACTGGAGATCTCATAATATAAATTTTTGACCAATTTCAAATCTGTAATTTGTAAGTTTATGCAAGCTGCCCTCTCAACTATTGAAATAAAATTCCCTTAAGTTGTAAATCCTAACTCTATAATTTAACAAATGGTCGATATCGTGATCACTCAGTAATATCAGTCATTCGAATGACTAATCACTAACTTAAACTTTAGAAGGTGAATTGTCAATTAACTAATTATTTTGCAAGACCAGTTCAGTATCAATTTATACCCAACTCTCGACTTTGCTTTCAATGTTATTTCTATTTCCGCTCTTAAGCCTTTTCATCTTTTCTCTCACCGACCACTCAGAAGGCTATTTGCCTTGCTGAGAATCGCAATAAAAGCGATTTACTCGTGAGTTTTATTTGATCTAACCAAAAACGTCCCCAACGGTTTTTTTTCGTAGTACACGATAAACCAGGTTCCTAATAGGCGCATACTTCCAGTACTGGTTTCAAATAGGAAAGCCGGATGGCTTATTCAGAAAAAAATGCAATTAAGCTTTGCTGCGTTCTTTCGTGTTGAGGTCACAAAAGTGGTATTCAATCACCAGATGTTTGCCAAAATCTGATTGGTGGCTATCAGGTCGTCGATGTCGTAGTTGTTGGTGTCGCCGAGTGTAACCTTAGGACTCACTCGCGTCTCCTTGTAGCTGTAGTTAGCACATACGCTGTCGAACATTCTCTCTCGAAGAGGTGTATCGATTGATTTCACAATTTGGAATATACTATACTTGGCTTATAATTAGGATTTAATATTAATTCAAGGACAACTTTCGGACTGATCGCAGTAAACGTAAGTATACCGTAGTTCGTTTGCACGCATATTCATTCCTAGCTCTCCTTAAGTCTTATCATTTAGTTTATTTCCGGCTAGATATTTACAAATCCCTTAGATCTAATTCAAGCGAATAACTTTGCCTCCGATGGAAAAATAGATGGAAAAACTAAATGCCCATTGTTCTTTTCATAGCTAAGCGGTGAAGTTGGTTCGTATTTATAGAAATTCATTTCCAAGAGATACTCACGTGAAATGCTGTTGCCTAGATGCCTCTTGTTGTTTGGGCGTTCAAAAAGTCAATTATTTTTGGTGGATTAGAATTTTGTGTAAAGGTAGACAAAAGTATAGAAAATTTGGTCTTCTAAATTTTACGTAACTCATTTTCAAAGGTTTTTTTAACCTCCCAAGTAATCATACATTCAAATATCTATCAGTAGATGTTTGGTGTTTTAATGGCTGGTATATTAGAGGAAGACACTGGAACTATCAAAATGATTCCCGAAGTTCCGCTATTTTAAGAGAGGGATTTTAAGCAGCTTCGTTATTGACACCAAGTTTAATCATCACTATTTAAATCGATTTCGCTGAAGCACAAGATGTCTTTTATGGGAAAAGTATACCATAATTTACTTATTGTAATTATTCCCCTAGATTATATATATATATATATATATATATATATATATAT